AATGAATTTCTTCATCCCTCACATTTCAAAAAATGAATTTTTCATTTCTCACTAATTATGTGTAAATACATTTTTTTTAAATACATGTATATGTCTATTTGATTTTGCTTAATAATAATAGCATAAACACATGTATGTAATTGGGTCCAACGTGTGGGCTATCTTCTCTTTTTGTATGATTATGACTAATATTTACCAATAGAACCTTAATTTGCATATTCTTATTGTATTTTGACCGAAAATAACTTTATTGGCCAACTTCGCAATGAATGCAAGATTTTTTACTAGCTAATACCAAATGAAATCAAATGATCACGTATAATATATGGTATTCGTATTGTTAAGTGAAATCAAATAGACACATACATATATTTATGCTATTCGTATTATTAAACAAAATCAAATAGACATATATATGTGTTTAAACAAAATGTATTCACACACACACACATATATATATATATTTAGGGTTTCCCTCACACACATAATTAGTGAGGGATGGAAATATTCATTTTTTGAAATGTGAGGGATGGAAAAATTTATTTTGTGAAATGTGAAGGATGAAAAAATCATTTTATAAAATGTGAGGGACGAAAAAATTTGTTTTATAAAATGTGAAGGACTATAGATTAGATTATGTAAAATATAATTTAACAAATTTACCCTTCAAAAATGATCATGTGCCTTGCACGTGATGGATTCCGACCAAAAATGATCGGAAACCTAGTTAGAGACTAAATTTGACCGATGTGAATATGTAAGGGATATAAAATTACACTTTTAAAAGTGAGGGACGAAAAAAGTCATTTTACAAAATGTGAGGGACGTTTTGGACGATTTTCCCTTGAATATTTTCAACCCCTTTTCCCTTAAGAATCGATCTAGCAGGTTTTGTGCAGATTTTTTTTTATAAAGTCCCTGGCTGCCGGGCCTTGTCAGTCTAGCAGCCAGGGACTTTATAAAAAAAAAAAAAAAAAAAAAAATTTCCCCTGCCAGCGATGTCAGAGTTTAAAAAAAAAAATTTGCCTTTTTGGTTGCATAGCCATAGATTTGCAGCACCCCTTGTCAGAGCCATAAACGTCCGACTTTTCTTTTTTACAACGATATTACGAGTAATTAGCCATAAAAATGGTACCATTTGTATTTTGCAAAGTTTGAATTGAAACCAAACACAATTTGGAGCACCTACAAATACATGGGCCAACCTATAAATAAAAGGGCTAAGATGGACTCCGTCTGTCTTTTCCATTGGGTTAAGACGGGGGCTTCTATTGGTAAGGAAGAACTTATAAAACATGTGACAGGCAATGGAGAGACAGCCCAAGTGTAATCTCAAGGAAGCCACAAATATCTTCCATTGATAGCATCTTGACCCCATTCAAATTTTGGGCCAATTTGCCCCATATTTCTACCAAAACGAGACTCATGCCAAACCCACGTTTGATATGCAATCACATTGCGCTCTTAAGAAGCATACCTGCGATAGCGTTGTTGAAATGCTTATATTGTCCATATTTAAGTACTTAATATAAGAAAGGCTAACCACTTTACAAGATTCATGGTAAAAAACAAAAAAATTCCCTGTGGTAAGTTTAATACACAAAAAAGCCCCTTATGTGTTCAAAATATACAATACGATACCTCATGCTTTGAATTAAATTGTAAATGTGACGAAATCCGTTAAATTTAACAGAAATTACTTATTGGAACCTAAAAAAATTTGTATACCTAATTTTTATCAAATATACCTATTCTACCCCTTAACCCTCAATTCTCTCTATTTAGAGAATAAAACAAATGATTTTTTTGAGTTGTCTTTTGCTTAATTATATCAGGGCATTTTGGTAATTTTGTCAATTTCCGTTAAGTTTAACGGATTCCATCACCTTTACAATTTAGTTCAAAACATGAGGGTTCGTATTATATATTTTGAAACCATGGAAGGTTTTTCTGTGTATTAGGTTTACCACAGGGGTTTTTTTTTTTTTGTTTTTTACCCTTTATATTATAAATTTTGCATAGGGATTTATATTATAATATTGTAAGCTAACCACTTTACAATCGTCATGATCAAAGTTGCTTTCATCAATTTTTTACTTTATATTATAATAAGTGAGTTATGTGAATATTTTTTAACATTAAATGAGTCATCTGGTAATGTGCAAAATCATAAGGGAAAAAATAGTAACTTACCCAAAATTATTTGTTACTAGGTGTTGAGGCAATATTCAATTGCAAGAAAACAACTGAATCTTTTCATTCTACCATGTCAAATGTGAAAATGAAATTTGTGATATTTGCAGTTTGAACGGAAGGGGAACATATTCCTTCAGCAGTGGAATGCTACTTGAAGCAATATGGCATAATGGAGGAGCAAGCATGCGATGAACTTTACCAACAAATTGAATCTGCATGGAAGGTCTTGAATCAAGAACTGCTTAAACCTAGTAGTTCTGCTGCAATTGAATTTGTACCTTGCAAAGCTGTCCTCCTTCGAGTTCTACACTTTGCTTGTGTGATTGTTTTCTATGGAGAAACCATGCGAAGTTGCATCAATTTACTGTTCATTAAGCCCACTCCTATATAAGTTGCTTATAGTTATGTATACCATTTGAAGGATACAAATAAACCAAGCATGATTTTTACTTGTTGGCATGATAAGTAGTGTTACATGAGACATCCCACATCCAAGGTTGGAAGGGAATGGAATGGATTTAAAAACTTGGATCCAATGGCTACATAATAATTTCGGTTAACCATTTTGATCCAGTGGATTTCGGCCCAAAAGTTACTTAGGCCAACTCTTAGACTTGAGTCGTGATAGTTGATATCAGAGTTATAGTTTCAACTATTCAAGGAAGTACAAGAGGAATTAAGAGCCATGTAGGGTGGAATCTTGCGTGGTCTCTACGCTGGATAAAGCTAGGCTAGCGGGTTATAGTTTCAACTTTCAACTATGTTTCAGCTATGCAAGAAAGTGTAAGAAGTTAAGTGCCACATCAGGCGGAAGCCACCTCTAGGAATTGAGTGACATGCAGGGTGGGGGCTAACTTTAGTGTTCAAACATGATCAAGTGGGCAGTCTGAATCTCGCGTGGTCTCTATGCAGGGTAAGACTAGGTCAGTGGGTTCTAGTTTCAACTATGCAAGGAAGTATAAGGAGATAAGTGTCATGTCGAGCAGGAGTCACCTTTAGAGTTTGTACGAGTCACCTCTAGAATCCGAATACAACCAAATAGACAAGTCTGAATTCTAACAAGCTTTTGCGAGGAATGAGACATCCCACATCAAACGTTGGAAGGGAATGGAATGGATTTAAAAGCTTATGTCCAATGGCTACATAGTAACTTCGATTAACTATTTTGACCCGGTGAATTTCGACCCAAAAATTATTTAGGCTAACTCTTCGGACTCGAATCGTCACATTACAGGTGTCTAGCTGTTTCATGTTTCCCTCAAAAAAAAAAAAAATCATTCGTGTTATTTCTAATAGTGGCACGGTTGCTATTTGCGGTGCGCAACATGGGAAAGAAGCACGAATGGTTAGTTCTGGACAAGATTTACAACATTTTGAAACGTTTTGAGCAACTTGTGATTCAATGTAGATAACTTGTACAACTTTTATCATATAAATATAATTTAAAGTACTATTCAAAATTATCTATATATATTATACTAATTGTGTCAGAATTAAATTATCTATATATATTATATTAATTGTGTCCAAATTGGCAGTACTGTTATGGGAAATGTAAATTTTGAGTTCTTGTGATCACGGCCGCCAGCCTCTGGCATTGTCGTCATTCAACAACTGCGCCCTTTCCGTGAAACAAATGCTTTTAAACTATACTACTAACGAGGGGCGGAGCCACCTGATGTGAAGATGGGCAATTGTATCAAAGATTCAAAGTGAGTAGCCCCATTGTGTTGCGTGAGCATCTGTTCTCTCAATCTTTGTGTAGACGTGCTGCTGTTGGAGAAGAAACAAAGAGAATTCCTTCATGTTTGGTTTCTCCTAGTTTATCACTCTTTGATTTTTGGAGATCAGCCTTTAATATTTTTTTTTCCCCTAGTATATTAATCCTGAAGTGTCATGCCCCAAATTCCCAGTCAAATGGGGCATACAAATTACTGCTCACCAAGGACCTCTTATTAGTATATATATTTTAATTTTTGTTTTTGGGTGGAAGCACTTTTCAAAATGTCCAAAAGATTACTCTACTAGCTAGAAACTAATTTCTGTTCTGCCAAAACAGAATATAATTTTGTATATGTGTGATGGAGCTTTTGCTGCCAAGACTAAAATTGTCATAAGCAGCACCAGTGTCAAAAAATGCAATGAGAGGTATGGGTTGGGAATACTTATCCAAAAGGATATGAACTAATGCTTGTGGATAGGTCTTCTTCTTATTGTGACATAAAAGCTCAGCTGAAAAAACAAATAGTATACAAACTCCCTGTGGTAAACCTAATACACAAAAAAATCCCCTATAATTTCAAAATATACAATACGACACCTCATGCTTTGAACTAAATTGTAAAGGTAACGGAATTCGATAAACTTAACGGAAATGACTTTTTGGAATCTAAAAAAAAAAATTTATACCTAATTTTTATCAAATATATCTATTCTACCCCTTAACCCTCAATTCTCTCTATTTAGAGAATAAAACAAATAATTTTTTGAGCTGTCTTTTACTTAATTATATCAGGACATTTTGGTCATTTCGTCTATTTCCGTTAAATTTAACGGATTCCGTTACCTTTACAATTTAGTTCAAAACATAAGTGGTTGTGTTGTATATTTTGAAACCATGGGGGGTTTTTCTGTGTATTAGATTTACTACAGGGAATTTTTTTTTGTTTTTTACCCTAAAAGAAATACTATACTACATGAGTTTTAGAAATTTAAAAAAAAATGCTGAAATTAAAATTAAATAGCAAATACAACCAAACAAATTTCACATGTAGACATTGAGATAGATAGGGACACAAGTTCAATTTAAGGTTCAACACCCAAGGTCTCCAGTCCTTTTATTGATGGCGATTGTCAGAAAAGCAAGCAGACAACATTAACGGTTTACAGTCTGATAGAATCGGATACTATCAAAAACCACGCCTTTACCAGAAGGCAACACCACCACAAAAAAAAAAAATCAGCTTTAGCTGAGTACAATAACATTAACTTCACCCAAACGAACACTTTTTTCTACTGTTTGGAACTCAAAATTAATACTATTGCCTTAATCAACTCAAAGACATTAAACCAATCAAACCAAAGATAGTACCATGAAGTATTAATTGGCGGGTGGTTAGAACCGTAACCTACCACTGCCCTATTTCTGCCTTCCTAAAAAGACCTAGACAGAAACAAACTTCATGTGACACAACTAAGGAAAAATGGTTAGAGACCCTTTAAAACAAGCCCTACCCCCATTTTTCTTTCTTTCTTTTTTTTTTCTTTTTTGACACGAAAATTGCAATCTCTAGTGACTCATCACCTATAAAATTCATTTACCAAACTAATACATAACACTTATAGAATATATATTAATTGATTGATAAAGCCTAGAATTGATTTTAATTGGCAGTTGATAACTGAATATTAGTGATTCAATTAAGTGAATTGTCCGCCAGTGAAGGTTTGGCCATAGGACCAGCCAGCAGGTATAGCATTGTTGCAGACCACGGTTCGACCATCACTAGTGGTGACCTTGAATGAGATGCTTTGTCCATCAAGAAAAGAGTTGCTTTGCCAGTTCTGTCCCCAATTTCTTGACATTGGTTGCCAATCACTGCTCGACCCTTTGACTGAAACGGCATGGACATCACCAGCACCTCCAACATTTGTGATTAGGACCAGGTTGAAGTAAGAATGGCCATTGATGGTAAATCTGATGCCTCCCCTCCTTTCACATGGCACCCTGTTGTTACATTTTCGCATTTATGTTGTCAGAATCCAATCTTTGACAGGAAAATTAGCCTTGAGTGTTGTGCTGGCGATGGAGCTTTATTTACCTACATGAAACTGAAGAAAAAGGGAATGAAAAGGTGCAAGAATCTACCTTCTATAAGAGACTGGGACAATTCCAGCTCTGTATTGAGCAATACGCTGGAAAACAGGCTGAGAGAGGTCAAAATGTTGCAGAGGTGGATTGCACCAGCCTCCATCATTGTTTGGGAGTGCATTGTTAGGAGGGCAAAAGTTGGTAGCCGTGACAATAATGGAACCAGGAAGGCAAGCTTTTGGGTCATTCATACATTTGATTTCAAAGCAAGCTCCACAGCTCAGTCCATTGTTGAACAATGCGGTGCTCAGAGCAGCTGTGTTTGTCCCATAACCTTGGCTATATAGATTTCCATAGCCACAAGCCCCTCCTGCAGATAAAGAAAGAATTTAATTATTCTCCACAAGTTTATTAATAATTGGACGATGAGAAGGATTGAAGAGGAATATGTGATGAATTCTTACCCATTGTGCCGGAAGCATCACCACCTCCATAGAAAGTAGCATGAGCATCAGTCCACCCCTCGTCATATCCATGAACAAACGAGGAAATGGAAAGACAGCCAATGATGAGAAAACCAAGAAGTTCCATTTTCCTGTAGAGAAAAAAAATAATTCAAATGAGAGTTGTTAGGAGCATTTATGATCCCTCAAACACAAAAATCAAGAAAGAGAAAAACGTTTTTTTTTTCTTTTTTTTTTCATTAGAGAATATTAACCTTGATGCTTGCTAAGTTGCTTATCTTTTTTCTGAAAGAAGAGAGGAGAGTGGAAGAGTGTGTGAGGAAAATTAAGCTGGGGAGAAATGGATATATATAGAGCATTGGAGGGGAGAGGGGGGCAACAGGGGCAGGGCATTGCATGGCTAACATCATAGTCTATCTTTTTTCAGCTTTTTGCTTTTGTTTACCTTCTTTTTCTTGGCTGAATAGGACCAAAATCCTCAGTCTTCACACTGTGTTCTGCGGGGACTCAAAACTGGGTGCAAGCGGTTATTTCTGTTTGTGTTGTAGGCATCTTTTTTGACGTACAACCAAGCGGTTTGGAACCTCGTCATTGCTGACTCATTATTGTCAATTACTGTTTACTGTTCCTTTTGTATGGTAAAATTCGATTGGATTAACACGAGTTCGGGGCAATTGATAAGTGAGTTACTAATACCAATGAGAGATCACAGGTTTGACTCCTGTTTGTGACGTTTTGAAAATCTCTGGGTCAGACCTTCGCTCCTGAGTAAGAGTCGAACTTTGCGGGCGCTCTTCAGATCGCATTCGGATTAATCAAACTGAAGGTTGGGATACTCGATGTTTAAAGCCAAAAAAAAAAAAAAAACAATTGGATTGCATGATGATGCTAGGCTTAGTGGTCACAAGATGAATCTAATTCTCACCCTGTATTGCAACTAACTGTGAACAGCTGCATTAGAAGAGAGAGCCATAACACGGACCAAATAATTGAGAAATAATTTTACAATTTTTTTGGATAAAATTATTAGTAACCCACAATGATTGAAGAACACAACCAGATTAGCAGCTTATAATTACAAACTAACTTGCACTGGGGACAAATATTAAGGCCTTGTTTGGACAGCAATTAAGGCCTTGTTTGAAAAATTGTTTCGTTTTCCGTGAACACATTTTTCAATTATCTTTTTACCTCACATATATCAAATCGCTACAATAATTTTTCTACAAAAAATTCAGAAAAATGCAATCCAAACAAAGCCTTACATTATGTTAGAAAAAACTCACATATAGTGAGATTTGAATGCATAACCTTTAACAATTAAATGCATACTTTCCATTCTGCATATCAAATCATGTATCAATCTTGTAGAATACCCAGGGTTACATTCTACAAATGAAAGTTTGTATATTGAATTGCTTATTATTTCTTTTTTCAGGGTTCCTTTCTTAATGGATTATATTAGATTATTGGAAATTAATTACCCCTCAAGATTACTGAGAAAGAATAAACCCTCATTCCACAAGAGAGAAAGAAATCATGAGATTCCATTCCTCCCAGTCTCACCGACCAAACCTTAGCACCCTGGTTGTCGTCATGCCAAAAGTGTAGCACATTTAGTACTCTAGCGGTCGTAGCACTTGTAATGATAAACCATAATATGGACCACATAATTGACAAATAATTTTACAATTTTTGTTCAATTTTTGTGCGATGCACTACAGCGAATCCACAATCGTGATCCAAGCAACACAAATAGATTACTAGCCTACACTATTACCAATTAACCTATAAATAGAGGGACAAATATTAAAATTACATTTGAAAAAACTTAAATATATTGAGACTTGAACCCAAAATCTTTATTTTCATAATTAAATACACACTTTTCATAACAGTAGATTGTCAATTATAACTCAATTATATTGACTCGCCCAAACTCGCTCACTAATAAGTGAATTTAGGTATACAATAAACTTTAAATGGGTCTAATTAAATAGGCACTCAATTACACCCATTTAATTGGTGGATAGTGAGTTGAATCGGCTCATCCATTTAAATCCATCTAAAAATAATTATATATTTAAACTCAATTAGTGTTAATCAGATAAATTAAATTTCTTACCAATCTGATAACAATAAAATATCACTATTTCTTGTCAAACAACATGTCAAAAAAATAAAAAATGTAAAATTCAAGGAAACATAAAGTGAGTAATAGGGTATGCCTATACCCATTTATCAAATGGGTGCAAATGGACCGGCTCATTTTGACCAATTTATTAAATGGGTTGACCCAATTATAATCATTACCAAATTATAACCTGTCCAATCTAACCCAAGTCACCCATTTTGACTCCTCTACATAATGGGTATCAAATTACAATTGTATCAATCTTATAGAATCCCAAGTATTCCACTTCACAAGTGAAATTTATATTGCTCAACTGCATTATTTTTTTTAGGGTTGCTATCTTTGCGGTTTATGTAAAAAAATATTGAAAATTATCATTTAAATATAGTTATAAAACCCAACTCAGAACTCAACCCGAAGAGATGATCGGGTCACCGGTTCAGCAGCAAGTTGAGCAGTTCAACTGTGGATTGCACAATAGTTATATTATATAATATAATAATATATTTTAAATTACAAAAATAGTAAAATTTTAAAGTTGGCAGTTCAATCGGCGACTTTTTGCTGATTTACCAGTTGAACCGTCGAGTCATTAACTGGCCAGCAGATTTGTTGCTTCACTAATTTAATTAGCAGCCCAACTCGATTCTATGATCCGTTTACTGGATTGATCGGTTTGACCGCTGAACCAGGCCGGATTTTATAACTACGCATTCAAGTTTAATCTGACTAAGAGTGCCCCCTCTAGTCTCCTCATTCAACAAGATAGAATGAAAGCAAGAGATAGAATTTCCCCAAGTCTGACCGACCAAAACCCTTTTACTCCAGCGGTCGTAGTACTAGTAAGTATAGCACATTTACTCCGATGTTTGGTTGTTGAGCCGATTATTGAGACCTCAGCAAGTGTGAAACAGGGAATGACATTAATACTAGTAGACTAGTTGTAGCAGCAAATTTGACTCATTTATTTCTGCTAGAAAAATCTGCAGGAGTGATCTTGCCATTTAATTTCCTCTCTGTTAAGTACATTACACCTCCAATCCCAGTCCAACAAAAACCAAAGCACACTGCACAAGTCACAAGTAGAAGATATACCAAGAAAGGGTAGGGCAAGGCAAGATAACAAGCACATGGGTGATGTATGGGATGACTAATCAATGATAAGAGAGCTGTCATTGTTAGTTGTCATAAGTTGGAAGGAAAACCCAAGATATGTAGCATCCCCTTTTTTTTTTTTTTGTTTCTTTTATTTTAATCAAGAAAATGTTGTGATTGTGAAATTGGCAAAGTCATCTTCTCGATACACGTCTTACAAAATTAAAGTCGAGTAGATTGATTAACAGTGTAACAATTGCGTTCCCTTTCATTCCTACTCAGCAAACTTGACAAAAATCGTCACCATTTCAACCGAAAATATTCAGTGACAAGTTTCAAGCCTTATGAAAACTCTTAAGAAAAGGATGTGTCGGTCGAATTGTCAAGCAATACTGAAAAGTTAATAATAAGTATTTATAAGTATAAAATTAGTATTTCAAAAACATAATCAGTATTCTTTAATAATGTGTTGCTCTTGTGACAAATGCTGATTAGCACTTTTAACATTGTCAATTTTGAAACTATAGTAGAACTCCAATATATCTGGCCTTCATGCATAGACCACTTGCGGGTTTGAAAGAAAGAATAGTAGCTGCTCTCGGGTTTTAAATTGTGGCTAACTTGTTACTGACTGCTGATGCCTGAACTATGTAGAGTCTAGAATGTGAATATCAGCTTTGGTATTTTTCATTTCCAAAAGGCTGCAACCTTAGCTATGGTGCATGGCATGTGATGATTTTGAATATCAAACCCCCAAAAGCCAAAAGAAAGAACTAAGTTTAAAAAAGAAGAAGAAAAGAGTAAGCTCGTGATGATGAGCGGTCATACATCCTCCCGCATGAGCGGCTAGCCGCCCATGCCTCAACTTGAGCTGCCGCCTCTGCCTCTTTTTGGCTGCCTTACTGCCACTATCTCTTTTGCCATCGTCGGCAGGGCTGTTCCCTCCCTCTCTCTTTTCTATCTTTTGGACCTTTTTGGTTTTACCATATTCTTGGTTTATTACTTTCTTTTATTGCTGTATTCTTTTGTTTCTTTTCTTTATTTACTGTATTTCATTTCTGTGTTGTTTTTGTTTTCCCTTTATAATATTGTTTTTGATGAAAGATCTTTGGGATGTGCAACGTACTTTCATTGTAATTTTTTATAGTTTCGGGTAAGTATGACTCCAATTTGACCAAAAAAAAAAAAAAAGGTAAGTATGACTCCAAATTAATCCAGTGGTTACAATTAGAGCAAGGACCTATGTTAATTTTGTGACTAGTTTACAGTCAGTTACATTTGAGATTTGGTGGGTTAATTATAAACTTTTTTCTGTTCATGCACTCCTATGAAGTAAATATTCATTAACTAAAAGTGTAGACAATTCATTCTCCCCATTAATTTGCTCTCTATTTAGAGCTTTTCTTTGCTAAAAATTCAACAATGATGATAAATATTGTACAAAGTGCCATTGTGCATGCTTGTCCTAACGACAAAATAAAAAATAAAGGGAATAACAGTAAACAATATGACGAAGAAAGAAAGAATTGCTTGTACATTATGCAGAATAACAATATGTTCGATTCATCGTATCAATTGTTTTTCATTGTGGAAGAGCCAACATTCTTCGTGGTAAAATGAAAATACAAACGTGAACGTTTAATTGAAATCTTTTCTTGATGTAATTCAAATAATTCGTGCACATAGAGACACTAACTAACTACCAAAATTTTTCATAAGTAGTATTTTGTTTGCATCATAAATATGGATGTGAATTGACCAAGCTACTCGACTCGGGTTCGCAAGTAGCTAAATCAAAGACTTAACTGAACTTGGTGGTGATTGAGTTCAAGTGATTTGATAAGATAATCGAGTTGAGTTTAAATAGAAAAAAATTAAAACTTGAGTGCTCGTCGAATTTTTTCAAGTTTTATGTTTATAATATAATTTTAAATTATTTATTTTAAATTTATTAAATTTACTAAAAAAATAGAGTTTGAAAGCTTGATTGAATTCAATTAAGCTCAATTGAACTTGATTTGATGGAGTATGAGTTCGAACTCAACTTTGAAGAACTTGACGAGTTCGAATAGAGCATTATTTGAACTCGACTCGAATCGATAGTACTTCTAATTAT